AGACAGCTTAAATACACCATACGTCTTATTGTATACAAGTGTTAACTCCCTCACTGAAAGTGTATGGGATTTTAGGTGGTTTTGATAGTCTGGTTTACTAAAACCGTAAGCCGGATCAGTTAGAAAATATAGCATATATAGATATAGATATAGCAACCCGAGTCAGACCAGTCTGAAGGTCTGACCCGAGTTTGGTGGTTGTAGCTTTAAAAGTCTAGGAGGAGATACATTTTAAAATTTGGTCTCAGAAGAAGAAGAAGAAGAGGTTTAAATAGGATTTCAGTAAGTTGGCTTGAAAAATTATTGGACTGCATTCAAGTACTAAAATAACTGATAATGGAACCATTAAGGAACTGGAATCATTAAAAGAATCCATAGATTTATTCTTGATTCCTATCCCTACTTGTAGCACATGATACAGTTAAAACTTTCAAGTCAGAAACACAATAGACCTTATCCCTGAATAGCTTCAGCATTACTCAAACTCTTTGGCCCGCTGATCATGGCAGAGGCACATTGCACAATTCAGGAACGGCCCATCCAGCTGTGCCTCTGTGACAAAGCGAACAAGCTCGGTTTCACTGGTAATTTACTCTAATGGATCTTCATTGATTTTTCATTAGTTTTTTTTATATACATGGTTCAGGGCATCAATTAAGCCTGGGAATGTTTGAGGGCCACATAGAAAACACTCTCAACTCATTATTCTGGCCGCGAAGCAGGCGTGTTCAGAAAACTCCTCACTGTTTGCTTTGGAGACAATGACTTAATTTCAGTTCTTGAATTCATCTTGATCCGTTTCCATGTTCTGTGGAAACATTTGCAAGGCAATGACGTTGTTGTTTAGCATTCTACTGATGCCCCCAAAAATGGATGTGAACTTTGAATAGTGTCCCTTTCCTCTCCACACTCTTATCAGCCATGTCCTCGCTCTTTTCTCTCTCTTCCTGCTGATTGATATCTCTGGGTCAGAGGATGTCAAGGAAGCTCTTTCCTGCTCTCACCAAATGCGTTTCTACTCTTCTTTTATATTATGTAACATTGTGTGAAGATAAACAGACTTTTAAGTGCCAGACTTTCCCTGTTGAAAAAAACAGCATATGCTGGTTAGGTATGTTTTGAAGCATGGCAGCTGGTTTGAGCTGGTTTAAGTTAAGCTGAGCAGGAGCTAGTTGCTTAGGACCAGCACATGACCAGCATAAACCAGCTCAGGACCGGCTTTTAACCAGCATATGCTGATTTTTTTCAACAGTGTTGAATGTATTCCCAGCTGGTTTCTGGTTAAAGTTTCTCTCTCTGGGTCCAGGAACACATGTGGAAGTTCTCGGATTGGATCAGGCCAGAAGTCTGGTCATTACAGCAGGGTCCAACTTTAGTTGTTTCACTTGGTGTGTGTTTGTGTTCATGTTTCCATGCACAAAATCACCACACCCCACAGAGCTTTTTGCCTTCCAATCTTAAAACTGTCAACAAAAAGGCCATTCAAAACCAGTCTTTCATTCATCAGCTAAATGTGTTTTAAAATATGGCTCTCCAAATCCCTAATTTCAGTAGAGTGTTTCTGACTCATTAAACCCACAGTTCTGAGTCTCTACATCCAGTATTTAAAATCAGCATGTCAGTGATTTACTCTGAAACATGTGTTTGTGTTGCTACCGTTAGGCCTTATGTGTGTGATGAGTCTGTTATTTGCTCAGAATCCCAAACAGACTTGTGGGAAACACACAGATCGATGCTTATTATCTCTTGGGAGATGTAATGTATGTGGGAGGGAATATGTTTGTGTGAAATCGGATATTTGAACAGACAAACGGTACTGACGCATTATTTTAGCCATGTCCATTTTGCCAGTATGAGTTGATTAGCTTAGAAGTGAACCCATGGGACTCAAGGTCCGCCCCTCTTTTGAATCACTTCCTACAACAGCCAATCAAATTCAGAGTCCAAATAGACCCTAATGTCAGGAATGACGCATTACACTTCTCAGTTTAGACAGCAGCATCTGGTAGGACAGGGAAGTTGTTTTCTCGCATCGCTGTAGAAAAGCTTGTAACCCACTGACAGCAAAAAGGGATTAAAAAGAGAAAATGCAAGGTTTTGGAAAAGAGTGTGAGATGTGCTAGCTCTTTAAGGCTGGAAGTGTGAGATGAAACAAATATTTTCTCCCTCATTAGACTCTGAGCTGACAGCAGCGTGTAAAGACCGAAAGGCTTTGTAAATAAGGTGCACTGCGAAGTTCAAAAACACTTGAATTGAACGTTAAAGCTTTAAAAACATTAAAGCTCGCCAGTGCATTAAAGAAGCACTGGCGTGAGTACTTTGGCAAAGTTTAGCTGAAATCACAGGTTAACAGCTTTTACTCAGGTTTACAGAATGGGTTAAATGCCATTAAAATGCTTTATAGATGCTTTTAAAAAAGGGCTGGCAAGCTGACATTCCTATAACCTTAGATTTTTGCTCTTTCTTTATTCTATGGAAGACCAAAACTGTTTACCAGCATTTTTCAAAATATAGGCCTATGCTTTTATAAAAGAAAGTCATATAGTTTCTGAATGAAATGACAGCGAGTAAATGACAGAATTTTTTATTTTTTTGTGTGATCTATCCCTTTGATCTATTAATTTATTCAAAAACACATTAAAAATGATCCTCATATTGAAATTACACCCCTTATATGATGAGCATGTTTGAAATTACTCAATGAGAATTTATTTTGATATTTTTGGATGGGTATAAAATAATGTCAGTTTCACACATTTGTCCTTAATGGGAAAAAAACTAATTAAAAGAATGGAAATAGACACACATTTGCCTTTAATAATTAAAAAACAAAAACTGTAAAACATTATTAATACTTTTTAGAAATAAAAGTATGCATTTATAGTGTAAGAGTGTTATTTTGTGCTATTAAAGTCATTTTTGAAACATTTCTTGAAAAGTTTCGCGAATCATTTTGTAATCAATATGAATACGAAGCAACTCCTTTCTAAGAACTTGACACGTGTTTTAGATATTTTTAAAAGGTTTTTCATTTTCTTTATTGTGGACATTCTTATACTATCACATCAAAACATGTAGGGTCAGCAAGATTTTTTTTGAAAGAAAGAAATTATTAATACAGGAAGGTTGTATTAAATTTATCAAAAAGACATGTATAATTTTACAAAAGATTTGTATTGTAAATAAACGCTGTTCTTTTAAACTTCATATTCATAAAATATATATAAAAAATGGTTTCCACAAAATATTTAAGCAGCACAATTTTCAACATTTACTATGTTTACCTGCATCCTCATAGTGCGATTATAATGAGATTTATGCAATATTCATATTACAAACTTTACCTCATGTAAACAATACTTTGATCAAATTGTAGCAACCGTAATTGTCGTCAAAAATATGTGCTGTATGCCAATATTTGTCAATTTATCAGTGTGTAAGAACATCCACAATAAAGAAAATGAAAAACCTTTAAAAAAAAAAAAAACCGTGTCAAGTATTTGGTCAAATAAATGCAGCCTTTGTCAGTATAAGAGACTTCCTTTAGAAACATGAACAAATGTTACCAACCCTAAACTTTGTAACTGTGTTTTTTTGAATAGTATATTTTTTGTCCTTTTGGGTCTTTCATCCTAAATCCCTCTTTTCTTTTTCGCAGGACTGCCTGTTCGGCAAGAGAGACCTGCGTCTGGCCCTGACACTCGAGCTCCTACACGACCCATGAGACCTTACGTTCCTCACATCCACATACCTTTGATCATACCACACAGAACAGTGCCAGCCCCCACTGGCCGTCCTCATGTGCGCCAGCCACACGTCCCACACCAGCCCTACTTCCCTCAGCCACCAGGCAGCCCCAGGCATCCCATCCACCCCGTACCACCCCACCAACCTGCCGTACACCAGCCAGTGGTGGTCACAGGGCAAGCCGGCCCACCTGGGTATGTGCACAGGGTCACGGTCAGACGGGATCAAAGCTCAGACGACTCAAAAACACCTTTGAAAGGATTTGCAGGTGCTCCAGGTATGAAATAGAATTAATAAGAGATTTTGGAATTTTGGAAGCTCATGCTTAAAGTGTCAAAATATTTGATTGTTTTTTTTTTCTTGTCCATAGGTTATCCTCCTGTCAATCCGGTCTCATATAATACAAAACAGTCTCAGCCAGAAGGTGTCTTTTTTCTTTATTTTTAGTGTTTGCTTTATAACATATTTTTTGTAAAACTGTTATAATTTAATGACTATTAATTCTTGTTACAGCTGCCCATGTCCCATGGAATCCTGCATATCAAAGAACCATTGCAACTCCAGGTAACAAGTTATAATGTACTGGAATAAAGTAGTTAAAACTGTTTTAAATTATATTGTACAATTCAGAGGCCAAAAATTTAAATAAATAAAAAAAACACTTTTTAAAAATATTCCAACCGTTCACAATTGTTGTCACTTGTGAGTAGACTCCAAAGTTAACACTTGCCAAGTGCAAATTGCAAGTAAAAATGAACTTTGGAAAGTTCCTTGACAGTGTCTGGTAACTTTATTAGGAACTGTAACATAACACATGGGAAAGTGAAACTGTAAGAATGATAGCCTGACCTTCACTGATGAAAGTGATGAGCATGAATCATATAAAAGACATACTGTCAAGAAAACTTCTGTCTCAACGTGGGTGTCTTCTAATGTCTTTACCTCAGTGGAAATTTCATTAAGGATGCCTGTTTTTTTTCCAGAGCATCAATTTAGAGACTACAAAATGAAAGAATGAGAAACAATAATCACATTGTCGTCATGTTCTTGAGAAAGGTGCTGTTAGAGACATCATGCTGATCACTGCCAAAAATCCTTTTCTTAACCAGTATTTTTGTCTATTTTTTCATATTTCAATCATAAACTTTAATTTATTGTATCTGATTTCTGCTTTAAACAATGAATTTGTCAATTAAGTAATAGAAACAAGTCATAGGCAAAACTATATATATATGTGTGTATATATATATATATATATATATATATATATATAAGTAATGTAATAGAAATATATTACATGAAAAACATACAGAACTTACATGCCAACTAACTGAAGTAAAATAAGTTTGTTGAAGAACTAAAATAACTAAAAATAAACTGAAATAAATCATGTTGATCACTGCCAAAAATCCTTTTCTTAACCAGTATTTTTGTAAATTTTTTCATATTTAAATCATAAACTTTAATTTATTGTATCTGATTTCTGCTTAAAACAGTGAATTTGTTTGTAGGGATATGCAAAACTGCACAGTCAAAGATCTATTAGTCAGTGGGTTGTCTGAATGACTAATGGAGTAGTTGGTGTTAAGGAAGCCTTGCAAAATTAAGCCAGTTTAGGGCCATGTCTACCAGACGCCAGTCCTACATGTACAGACATTCAACCGAATATGAATGTTATTGTTAATCATAGGGCAGAGTGGGGGAAAACACACCCCTTAAGGACTGTGTAATGTTTTTTTCTGTGAAACAATAGTTAAATATGTTCAGAAAAGTTATCATAGTTTTAGTGACAAAAATGACATAAATTATAAACCAAGTATGAAAAATGTCCAGAGTTTTTATTAAAAAAAAATTTATTTGTTAATTAATAGAAACAAGTCAAAGGTAAAACAATATATATATATATATATATATTAGGGCTGCCGCTAATGACTATTTTTATTTCGATTAATCTATCAACTAATTTATCGATTAGTCTAAACGATTAATTTCCCACAAAAAAAAAATCAACAATTTTACTTAAGAATATTTTATTAAACTATAAAATGGAAAAAAAATGAATTTGGAAATAAAACTGATTTAATAGGGCCCTTTAATTATAATAAAATTTTTTTGTGGTAATAAAAATAGATGTAAGCCTTTAAAATTACTTAAAATACATATATAATTGCAATGAGGCAATAATAATTAATTCAAATAAAAACGCAGGAAAAAGTGGCTTGTAAACTTGTGTCTGCGGTCGGGAGGAGCAAAGCTCGTGTGATAATAATGCTCGTGCGTATAAATGGTTATTATAGGATATAATAATATATTAAGATATTTATAAAGATATAAATAGATTGGGCTGCCACCTCTCACGCACGCATTGTGACAGTCAGAATTCACTCAGTGCTAAACGCCACACGTAGACACGTAAATAAGATATTATTTGCAGTTCAGAGAGCTTCACTGATTATAAAGGAACATCGTGAGATTGTGATCAATTGAAGTGAGTGACAGCTTTTTAGTGATTATATGGAAGCGCTATTTACTCGCTTTCTAGGCAGGCTATAATCAATTCAGAATTTGAATAGTTTTGTTTTTTAACAAAAAAGGATGTTGGACGTGATCCTTATGTTATAAAGATGAGCGATTTTTAAACTAAATTTAAATACTTGCCTGCCATTGAGGCGATGGATATAGGCTAAGCAACTAACATACAGAACTTACATTACATGCCAAATAACTGAAGTAAAATAAGTTTAAATTGAAGAACTAAAATGACTAAAAATAAACTGAAATAAAATAAAGCTACATATTTAGAAAAATATTGCCAAACCCTAACTAAAATTAAAAATATAAAAATAAAAGCTAATTTTATATATATATATATATATACTGTATATATAACGCTAAAATAACACTTGTCAAAAGTAATTAAGATAAAAATACTACTTAGGAAAATTATGCTTTTCTGTTGCTCTGTTTGGAAAAATTTCTAATAAAAATACATGGCCAATGAAGATATTTACTGCCAAGTAAAGTTAATTTTGGACTCTGTGTGTAATGATCAAAACATACTTTTCAAGCATGTGATGTTGATACGCGTCTCTTCTGCACAATAGTGTCACAGCAGAATTCCTTGACAGATCCATTTTCTTTCTCTGCTGGCCTCACACGGCAGATGTTCTCAGGGGACTTCGGTATCATTCGCTTTGATAGGGTGCTCGTCAATGATGGAGGACACTATAACCCTCAAACAGGTAAACTGAAACCCTGAAACTCTATTTAATAACCCCGTCTGTAAGATAAACATGTTTAGATTAGTAGTTTTACTACAAGAAACCAATTTAATAACCTATATATCCTATTTGGCTGCTGATGTTGCTCCTCCCTCTCTGTAGGGATCTTTAGGGTGCCCGCTGATGGCCGTTATCTGGTGAGCGCTGTTCTAACAGCTCCGCGGGGTGAGCACGCAGAAGCCGTGCTCTCAGTGTCCAATCGCAGCGTGCAGAAGTTGGACACAGCGGGTTACTGGAGTAGCCACCCACGGCTGACCCAGGATCAGTGCATGTGTGGGGGGTCTGCGTCCTTTAGCCTCATCCTCCCTCTCCGGCAAGGTGACACCGTGGCCTTGGTGCGCACTGCCGGGAAACTGGCGATCTCTGATTCTAGAGAGATCCTCTCCACCTTCAGCGCTATATTCCTATACTCGCCTCAAGCCAAGAGATAACCCTGTCACTGAGAGGGGTGCTAACGTGACTTTTAACGCAAGTCTAACTATTCACAATGCTGCCCCATTTGGAAAGGTGCGGTCACATTAACAAAATTTCTGCAAGAATAGAGGCATATTGGCATAACCAGCTTGAATCCATTGCGAAATCTTTATGGGAAAAACTTCCCAACCATGTGGATTCCCATTGAAATCACTGGATTTGGTTTGCGAAAATTTGCAGAACGGTAAATGTGACCGCACCTTGAGACTTGTGACTATGCAATAGAATTTGGCTTTGGTTATTTATCAGACACAATACGGAGTTATTTAGATTTTTAAAAGTGGAATGTGTTGGTGGTAAAAAGTCAATCACGAATGCACTCGCACAATCACGAAGAAAAAGAGCATAGCATTTGATTTTAGTAGTATATGTGCAACAATCTATATAGTTTTTTTTTATTGTGATCTTAAAATATCTATAAAATGTAAAAGGTTTATATATTTTTTGCAACGTTAAATTAACAAATGCGTATTTTTTAATCTTTAAAAACTGGTTCAACAGTTCACTTTGAATATCACTTCTTTTACAGCCAATATTTTGATCTATAAAAATAAATAAATGAACTACCATGATTTTGCGCATTTTGTTTTAAATGCACTTTGGGTAAGACAATAAAACAATTATAGATACTGTAAAATACACATTTGGGCTTGTAAATTAAAAACGGATCTATCATCTTTTGCAGTAAGCCTACATTATTTCACATTTAAATAATACATTTAAAATGAGTAAAAACAATAAAAGTAATTCTCCACAAACTGGGTTTTTGTGCCACATATTAAACTTACACTATACACACCCTGAAGACTTAAGCAAAGCAATTAAATTTACATTCATTGTGACATCAACAACTTCTCAGTGCTATAAACAGTCCACCCAGCTGTATTAAATACATCTTTAATAGATTCATAAACATTGTCCAAACCATAGATAGTTTTTTTTTTGTTTTGTTTTTTATATAGTACAATTATGCATTTAAAGGCATTTATGCTGGTCAAACACAAACCTATAACGCAAAAGCGAGAAATGCACCAACCCATTCGAGTACAACTACAAAAAAAAGCAAGTAAAACAAAAGGCATCAAAGATCAAGAGCAATGACAAAACACATTCAGCACTTACAACAGCAGTTTCAACAAAAGAAAGAATAGAGCCTTTTTTGTTAACATTTTTTTTTACCATTTTTTACCATTAATGTTAGTTTCATACAAGATGAGTGTGTTCACACACAAGAGGTATTACTTTCATAGAAAGAATGGGATTCCTTTGTTAACAATTAACAGATTTCACTTCCAAACATCGTAACTGCAGACACAAAGTGCAACACACATATATATTAAATCACAACAGTCAGCTGAACCATGAAATGCCCCAATTTTTCCCTAAACAATGATCTGACTTCAAGAAATGATTTGTGCTCTAATTCTGTACATCTATTTTAACATCCAGCACACAGTGCTCTAAAACTTACCCTTACGAGATTGAAAGCAACTTGAACAAAGCCCAAAGGTAGAGGCCAAGACCATAGTGACCACGTAGAGTGCACGTTACTTCAGTCGAGTCTTGCTCATCCTTCACTTGCACATTAGCTTTAACATTTTCTAAAATAAAAAAATTCAGCTTCCTGTTGTTCAAGATCGTCCACTAACAGTGAAAACCTGCAACGTCAAGATTCGATTCAAATTGTCTAACCCAACAGAAAGCGTCAATGCATGTGTAAAACATAAATGGTCCTATTTATATTTCAAACTAAGCATGCAAAGGCGTCACAAAACATTAAAGACCATTTCATACTCTCTCACAGGCCGCAGCCTACTTAAAGGTATAACATGCCTTCATTTTGAAAGCCAATATATACTACACTCTTCTTAACTTAATACAGATCTCTTGCCGAGGTTTACGTCTAAAAGCGCTTAAATCCTCGCATTGTGCACAAAAGCCTGCTGAAAAGCTTCAAACGTTATTGCATTTCTGTCATGAGTTAAGTGCAAGATGATCTGATATTTTTCCTTTCTTGGCTGCAGCTGAAAAAGTGCGATCGGTAAGGCGTTCTGCAGCAACCAGACGATGAAAATGTCAACAGTTGGGAAATAACAAGAAAGCCCAATTACGATGAAATCCTTGGTGTACTTTTCATACAAATCCAGTCGACTGTACGAGGCTGTGCGCGCTAAATCTGCTGAACTGTAAATTATGAGCCGTGTCCTCACGTGGCATGGCTCATTCTGTGCATACTTTCCAGTATCTACGAGATTCAGCTCATTTCGCACCATCTGGCAATGCATATTCAAATTGTCATACCGTCACCACATCTTAGAGGCAGTGCATGTTAATTAGTTAATTCTAACTAATTCCTTTGTATATAAATAATCTATGCTCTAAAAAATGTAAATTAGTGGTTGTAAAGAATATCTTTGCTAATTACTTCGATTATGAGCATATCTGTATGCCACCTTTAACCTTACACATACCCAAACAAACAGCTGTGCATTCATTCCGCTGACCAAGAGGCCATTGGTCGTCTAACTAATACTGTAAACATTAGCCCAATAGCAATAAATTCCTTCAGAGCTGAAGCAGCCTAACTCATAGCAGCTAATCAAAATGATATAGATTAGAAATACAGAGCAGCACCAAGGTGTTTCAGTTTGTGGGAGTTCTACCTACATCCCATTAATGTGAAGCTGGGGTGTTTTGGTGTTGGTTCAGCTTAGAGGTGCTTTTGTGCAGTTCACATTTCCTAGGTGGGATAGGACGGCCACTTTATTTGTCTTTAAGCAGAGATGTGAGATGTGGAAGGGTACCGGCTAAGTGGTTCTGATGGCAGAGATGACCGTGAATGTGTAATAGATGGCCCCTCTGGGATGGTCTATAAAAGCAGGTCCTCCGCACAGATCTCAGGGATAGGTTGACGCCAGAAACAGAATGTACTGAACTCTGGGAAGCTGAAAGCTGAACTTTGTTCTTTACTCAGCAAGGGAAAGACGTGATCCACCAGCTCACTCAATCTACTGTACCTACACACAAACAGAGAACGAGCGTGAGACAGCTAACCGAAAACACACAAAGGCGTCCTTCAACTCACAAGAAGACCTTGAACAAAGTTCAAGAATCAGCTCTCCACCTTTGAATCAGCATAATCTTTGACAGCTGAAGTCGACTTTAGAGATACTTTTAAGTATAGCTGCAGATCAATGTGCCTACTTACGAGGACTTGTTGCCCTTGGTTTGCTCCTGTATGAGCTCTCCTTTGGGGTTAACCGTAAAGATTCTGCAGAGTGGCACTCCAACCTCCTTGTAGGCAAAGACGTCCTAGAAGAAACAGTCAGAAGATCAGGCTTCAAGCGTCAACTTAGGACACCCTCTGCTGTTTTTTTCCACCCAGTCCACAAACAAAAACATCATTCTGTGTTAGTTCCTGACATTAGCAACGGTTTTATGATGAAATGGATGCATTTGTGCCTGTATAAACATTCAGTGTCTTACTCCACCCAAACAATATAATTTATTCAGCTGGAAACTGGAAATTTAAGCAGGCTGGTTCATAGCAGCTGGTCATGCAGTCCGAGACTGTGCGTGTAGCCTGAGGGGACAGCGCTTCGAAGTTCTAAGCCTCAAACATGAATCTTCGTGCTGAACTTTGACTCTGCTGCTGAGGTCAGTGTGCATTAAAAAAAAAAAAAAAAAGTTAACTGCATTCCAACTCACATTTGTTCGGTTTCCAAATGCGGCATAAAAAGGATGTTTGTTGGGCAGGAAAAGGTTCTTAATGTCAGTAAGGCATTCGATTTTGAAGATTTCTGGCTTCTTCTCAATCACCTCCCTTTCAGACAAAGAAAACATTTTGAGTAAGTGAAGTCAACTGCTTGGTACTTTTATATGTATTCTGCTTTAATGGGATTTATTCATTAATTCAACTTATTAAAGGGATAGTTCACTCCAAAACAAAAATTGTCATCATTTACTCACCTTCATGTCCAAATTTGTATGACTAACTGCATTCCAACTCACATTTGTTCGGTTTCCAAATGCGGCATAAAAAGGATGTTTGTTGGGCAGGAAAAGGTTCTTAATGTCAGTAAGGCATTCGATTTTGAAGATTTCTGGCTTCTTCTCAATCACCTCCCTTTCAGACAAAGAAAACATTTTGAGTAAGTGAAGTCAACTGCTTGGTACTTTTATATGTATTCTGCTTTAATGGGATTTATTCATTAATTCAACTTATTAAAGGGATAGTTCACTCCAAAACAAAAATTGTCATCATTTACTCACCTTCATGTCCAAATTTGTATGACTGACTTACTTCTGCAGAACACAAATGAAGATATTTTGAAGAATGTTGGTACAAACAGTTTTGGTTACTTACCACTGACTTCTATTGCATGGACAAAAAAATATACATTGCTCAAAATATCTTCTTTTGTATTATACTGAAGAAAGAAGTACAGGTTTGAAATGACATAAGGGTGAATAATGGTGACAGAATTATTTTTTTTAACTACCCCTTAAAAACAATGACGTTTATATAATACCTGTGAAATGCAGAGAAGAGGCTACTGGGAGAGAGCATGAGTGGTCCACGGGGCAGGATAATGCCTCCGTCATTTACCCATTGCAGATATCCTCGCGTCATGTCTGCCATGCCAATTGCCCTTGCTGAGCAGTACAGGAATTTATATCCATTTCTGGTAAAAACAAAAAACAAATGCCCTTTTATCAAAACTTCGTTTAAAGGCTGCTTGTGTCTTCTTAGTGAAGAAAACATGTCTTCAAGGAGGTTGAAGATTAAGCATGCAAACTCACTCAGCCACGGAGTGGTAGAGTTTAGCAATGCCCTGATGCGTCCAGTCCTTCCCAAACTGAGGCAAAATCTGCCCGAACACATCTGATCTGAAAGCACATAAACATACGGGTGAGCATGGCACGTACTAGAAAAACTAAAGACGCAAATTCCTCTAGTGCATATTTGTTCTACTTGGAAGGAAGTCCAAGTCTCATTCAACTGGCTTCCTAAATATAGCTTCTGACATTCTTTTTATTCTTAGAACTAATAGACTTGTAAAGGAGAGAGATTTTTTTTCTCAGCTTGGGCAAAACTCTGTGTCGTCTACTAATGAGGATCTTCTCCCCGCTTTAGCATTTTATCTCCGGCTCTTTCTGAGTGGCATTATGAGAGAGCAAGATTTAAATTGGCTCATTATGGTGACATCCTCCTCCTAGTCCAACCTTGGTCTAGGCGCACCCCACAGTCAGCCGCCCTGCTTCACAGCCTCAGAGAGATGTGTCAGGCAAGCGGGTCAGAGAAATAATAAGCAGCAGTCAATCTGCCCATTGATGTTTGCCACCCACCAGCCACTGAGGGCACGAGTCTGGAGGCGGAGAGCATTCGTTTGCATAGACGCTTTGATATTACAGCCGGCTTTGCAGTAATTAAAAACCAAAGACGGTGGAACGGTATCGCACTAATATTAGAGCTGTGAACTCCATCAAACAGCCAGTAAAACTCAGGGAGACATTGTCCGTTAAATGATGCATTGTCTTTGTCACTGAAAGCGTTAGTGGAGAGGACTGTGATGCGAGATCATTATTAGTGGTTCATTATTTGCCACATACTCAGAGTGCTTGTTTTGATGAAGCAGACTCTGTCTTGATCTATAAACCTCTTTCTGTTTTGGCAGTAAAAAACCTGGCAGTGAGTGACTCCTTCTGCAGTAACTAATGGAAATGTTTATGCACACCTAAGCCTTTTTCCCCTCTTTCATGACTACAGTAAACTATAAAAATGAAGAACAAAGGTGGATTTTGCACAAAAACAACCCAGCATATGACTTTCATTAAAGGAAACACGTGCTGTGTGTCTGAGAAATACATACTTGGTGATGGTTCCATCGATGTCTGAGATGATGACTTTATCGTCCCAGTTCCAAAGGTAGATGGTGCCTTCACAGCGGCACGTGCCCTGGTACTGCGTTGTGATGCTGAAGGTTACATCATTGGGTCCTTCCTTTAGTTTCAGACTAGCCTGTAAGTCAATACCACCTTATCAATGCATCTCTTGACCACTA